TATTCATGAGCAAGATATGCATTCAGTGAAGATTATACACCCATGGAGAGAGAGATAAAGAAAAGGTGTAAGAGATTTTTCCTTGTCTTTCTTCTTTCTTGGTACATCTTTGTATTCAAATTTGGAGCTCAAATTCATTAGGTTTTCTTTTAAAATGTGCTTTCAAATAAGCAAACATCACCCAATACGCATTTAGACAATATTTCACAAATGACTGTATCCTAAACTTCCTTTACTTAATATAAACCATTGTTCTGGACCTTAGTCTCTGTATCTCAACAATCATGTTTCAAAAACAGCTAGTATTGTTTTGTAGATTTTTTTATGTTGGCAGAATATCAATGAGCTTGATTGCGTGTTAGGTCATAGAGAAATTTTAAAATGGCATTGCTGACCGTATTATCCATTTTTTAAAATATTGACCTCTGTGATGCCTGTCTCTCATTCTTAAAATTTGAGTTTAAAATCTGGATCAATAAATAGAACATAAGCAATTCTCAAGGCAGTTTTTAAAAGTGCTTTGTGCCCCTAAATTCTATTTAAAACTTTGTCTCCGCTTACATACTTCTCAATACCACATTATACTCCTATTAACTTGTTGTCTCTCCAACCCCTTTCCCTTACTACCTACTTACCTACCTATCTACCTCCTTTCCTTCCTTCTTCCTTTCCTTTCTTCCCTCCTGCCTGCCTTTTCCCCTTTTTTCCAACATGATGAATGGTGGTATCATCCACTGAGATGGGTAAGACTGAAAGAAAGTGTAGTCTTTGGAGGGGAAATCAAAGAGTTCAAGTGTAGACATATCATGTTGGAGATGTTCACAAATCTCCAAGTGAAGATGTTAACATGCAAGATATATAACAGGAGTCCAGAGAAAGGGGTTGGCTTGTAGATATAAATTTGAAAGTCAACAGTGATCTAATATGTATAAAGCCACTGGATTTAATACAATCATTTAAAGAATAAGTGCAGATGATGACATGATACCCTACATGGAAAACCTGACAGACTCCTCCAAAAAAACTACTAGAACTGATACATGAATTCAGCAAAGTTGCAGGCTATAAAATCAACGTACAGAAATTGGTTGCATTTCTATACACCAATAATGAAGCAGAAGAAAGAGAAATCCAGGAATCAATCCCATTTACAATTGCACAAAAAACCATAAGATACCTAGGATAAACCTAACCAAAAAAGTAAAAGATTTATATGCTGAAAACTATAGAAAGCTTATGAAAGAAATCGAAGAAGACACAAAGAAATGGAAACACATTCCATGCTCATAGATTGGAAGAAAAAATATTGTTAAAATATGGATACTACTCAAAGCAATCTACACATTCAGTGCAATCCCTATCAAAATAACACTGGCATCTTTCACAGAGCTAAAACAAACACACTTAAAATTTGTATGGAACCACAAAAGACCCTGAATAGCCAAAGTAATGGGGATAAAGAAGACCAAACCTGGAGGCATCACAATTCTGGACTTCAAGCTGTATTATAAAGCTGTAGTCATGAAAACAGTATGGTATTGGCACAAAAACAGACACATAAATAAATGGAACAGAATAGAGAACCCAGAAATGGACCCACAACTATATGGCCGTCTCATCTTGGACAAAGCAGGAAAGAATATCCAATGGAAAAAAAACATTGTTTTTTTTTTCTGTTTTTCCAGAAAATGGTGCTGGGAAAACTGGACAGTGACATGCAGAAGAATGAACCTGGATCATTTTCTTGTACCATACACAAAAATAAACTTAATAGATGAAAGACCTAAATGTGAGACAGGAGCCCATCAAAACCCTAGAAGAGAAAACTGGCAGCAACCTCTTGACCTCAGTCGCATCAACTTCTTATGAGATGTGTCTTTGGAGGGAAGGGAAATAAAAGCAAAAATGAACTATTTTGAACTCATCAAGATAAAAAGCTTCTGCACAGCAAAGGAAACACCAAAACTAAAAGGCAACTGATGGAATGGGAGAAGATAGTTGCAAATGACATATCAGATAGAGGCTTAGTATCCAAAACTTATAAAGAACTTATCAAACTCAGTACCCAAAAAGCAAATAATCCAGTGCAGTGAAGAAATAGGCAGAAGACATAAATAGACACTTTTTGAAAGGAGATATCCAGATGGCTGTCAGACATATGATAAGATGTTCAACATCACTCATCATCAAGGAAATACAAATAAAAACCACAATGAGATACCACCTCACACCTGTCAGAAGGGCTAAAACTAACAACTCAGGAACAACAGATGTCGGTGAGGATGTAGAGAAAGGGGAACCCTTTTGCGCTGTTGGTGGGAATGCAAACTGGTGCAGCCACTCTGGAGAAGAGTATGGAGATTCCTGAAAAAATTAAAACGAACTACCCTATGACCCCACATCTGCACCACTAGGTATTTATCCAAAGAATGCAAGAGTGCTGTTTTGAAGGGGCACATGCACCCCAATGTTTGTAGCACTGTTATCAACAATAGTCAAATTATGGAAAGAGCCCAAAGACACTGATGTCCATCAACTGATGAATGGATAAAAAAGATGTGATATCTATCTATCTATCTATCTATCTATCTATCTATCTATATGGTGTGGTATACATATATATATACATACACATATATATGTATATACATATATATGTATATACACACACACTATATATATATATGTAGATATACACACACAATGGAATATTACTCAGCCATCAAAAAATTAAATCTTGCCATTTGCAACAATGTGTTGAAACTAGAGTATTATTATGCTAAGTGAAATAAGTCAGAGAAAGACAAATATATGATTTCACTCATATGTACAATTTTAGAAAAACAACATATGAACATAGGGGAAGGGAAGGAAACATACGATGAAAACAGAACAGTAGGTAAACCATAAGAGACTCTTAAATACAGAGAACAAACTGAGAGTTGCTGGAGAGGAGGTTGGTGGGGTGATGCGCTAAATGGGTGATGGGCATTAAGGAGGACACTTGTTGGGATGAGCACTGGATGCTATATGTAAACGATTAATTCACTGTGTTCTACTCCACCAATGTTATGTTAACTAACTTGAATTTAAATAAGTTTAAAGAAAAAAAGAGTGAGTGCTGTGAATACAGAGAAATGACTAAGGACCAAACTCAGGGTGCTCCAGGAAGAGAAAGGTCAGGAAGAGAAAGAGGAAAAAAATATTTAACTGTATTAATAGAATTTTATGTTAAAGGAGTTTCCCATCCTATTGATCACTATTGTTATTTATTTTGGAGTTGGCATGGGACATGGTTTTCTCTTCTTAGGACTTTAAAAATTTGCTGTCTAAAATCTACAGAACATATCTGATTCAAAGTGTTTGGTCCAGTACTGTGATGCGGATCAGTATTAGTGCTGGTTGTGAGGCCAGTTCTTCGATAATGAGGCTTCCCAAGACTTAGCCAAGTAAGGTACATTATCAAATACCAAAACTACAGGTGTCAGTACATGTCAGGTAGAAATATTGAATGCAATTAAGGAATGAGACAGGAGTGTCTGGAGCTGAGAGTCTCACAAAAGTGGATAGGTAAAATAGACAGGAAGTGAGATAAACAAAGGTAATAGTGGTAGGGTCAGAATAAAGCTGTCTGACATGATGCTAGTAGACTGAAGACCGATAGGTTGTATTCAATCTCCTGAACACATTCTGGCATATGCCTTTTAGGCTATGCTTGAAACAGCCAGATCACATCAGAGAAAACCTACCATCAGCCTTTTTTTGGGCATTTCTAATTTTAAAGTGAACAGTCATCTCCCAAATGTTCCCACTTTCACTTCTGATGGTTCGAGTCATGTCCACTGCCTCCTTCGAAGGGTAAGACTCAGATTCATATTTCATTAACATGGCTTTCAGCTATTCACTGGGCACCAGGCTGGTCACTTTCACATTTATCAATTCTTTTAGGGATTAAATTGTCATCTTGGAAAAAAAAATTGTCATCTTGGCTGAGGCAGAATATCATATAAATAACTTATATTGCCACAGTTTAAAAGCCTCATGTAAATTTCCTAAATCCTCTTGTGTGTAATATTTGCCTAATAGTGTGTCTCATCTGTAATATTTGAAGATTTAGTTCTGTATGATTTAGATGTGGTGTCATAGGAAGTCTTCACAGCTAATTTTCTTTCTCTATGCAGGGAAGGACATATCTGGCATAATATAACCAGTCACATTGTCAGGGTAAGAATAAATAGCAAGCTATAAACAAACAAAGAAGAAATCAAGTCATAAAGTGAAGGAGCAATAGAAATGTGGCCAGACACTGGCCACTGGCCTGAGCCTGGCAGTATATTAAACAAGTGGGCCTTTAACTTTGCTGTGCAGGTGATTATCTCCTCTGAGAGCAGTTGTTCCTTCCTGGGTTATCTGGGTCCTTAAGGCTCTTATATGATCTAGCAGGGTCACATAATTGTAACCTATAAAAGTGTAGGAACAGAAAGAACATCTTTTTTTTTTCTTAAATAGTTTATTGTCAAGTTGGTTTGATATAACACCCAGTGCTCATCCCAACAAGTGCCCTCCTCCATGCCCATCACCCATCTTCCCCTCTCCCCCACGCCCATCAGTCCTCAGTTTGTTCTCAGCATTCAAGAGTCTCTCGTGGTTTGCCTCCCTCCCTCTCCCCAACTATTTTTCCCCTTCTTCTCCCTCATCATCCTCCATTAAGTTCCTCCTAATCCACCTATACGTGCAAACCTATGGTATCTGTCCTTCTCTGCCTGACTTATTTCGCTCAGCATAACACCCTCTAGTTCTATCCATGTTGCTACACATGGCCAGATTTCATTCTTTCTCATTGCCATGTAGTATTCCATTGTATAAATATACCACATCTTCATTTTTTTTTTTTTACCATTTCTGATTTTTTTATTATCTGTAACCTTTGGAAACTAATCACATGAAACTACAAAATTAGCAAATGTCTTGAAATCTGTATATAAAACATAAATTACCTCTAATTTCAAACTCTCATTTATTAGTGTACCACTCAATCTTTAAAAAAAAAAAAAAAGCGGCTCCAAAGATAGTCTTATACCATTCTTTAAAAAAGGAAACTGTTCCTTTTAACTTTACACCCACCCCACACCCCAATTTCAAAACACATCATTTAATTGTCTTGGTCATGGACATTTCCAAGATGAGATTTTATATTTCGCTCCCATAGCTTCTGGTTATCAGAAAAACCATGCTTTCCTCTACTGAAGGAGTTTGGTCCTGCTGATGTTGGTGTATCCCTTCCAATATTCTTCATCCTCATCTTTGCTTCTGGAGGCATTTCCTCTGGTTCACTGTCTTCATCTTCATTAAAAGCTGCTGCTACTGACAGGGTTTTTCGAGCAAGAGTTGGAACAGTTTCTTTAGGCTTACTTGATCCAAGTTTGATGGATATGGCTGAGGCTTTCTTTGTCGTCTGACTACCTATGGCAAATCCGAACTTGGAGATCTTTGTAGGCTTTGTTGGGAGGTCTGCAGCTTCTTCTTCAGCTGATTGCTTCTCAGCGCTGCGACTGGAACTTTCCCCTCCATTACTCTGGTGCCTCCAGCTCACTGCGGCTTCTCAGGCTTCTCCTCTCCCGCCTTCCCGTCCCATACCACATCTTGATCCATTCATCAGTTGATGGACACTTAGGTTCTTTCCATGTTTTGGCTATTGTTGAGAGTGCTGCTATGAACATTGGGGTACATGTGCCCCTATGCATCAGCACTCCTGTATCCCTTGGGTAAATTCCTAGCAGTGCTACTGCTGGGTCATAGGGGAGTTCTATTGTTAATTTTTTGAAGAACCTCCATACTGTTTTCTAGAGGGGTCAGAAAGAACATCTTAACTTATCTTGGGCAAAGCTTTGCATGTTTGCCCTTAACTTTATTTTCCAATATACCCTATCATTTTTGACTGCTTTCTCAGACCCTGAAACTTCAATGTGTTTATCTAGCCTCAGTTCTGTATCCCCTTTCCAATGGGATGTTGGTTATTTTTATCACAAATTAATGCTGTGACTTCAAACTAGAATGCTTGAGTAAGTCAACACTTAACCCACTAAGTGATGTAGACTCCCTATCATATCCCCCCCCTGGAGTGAGTCTGGTCTTCTGGAGAGATGAGATGAGCAGGGAGAGAAGCCACATCCCCTTCTCCCCCGAACCAGTGACATCCGTACCTGCATGCCAGGAGTGTGGACATGCATCATTTCTCACTCCGGGTTCTCCAGTTCCCTTCCTGGCTGTGATGCTGTTGTATATATCAGGTGAACCCATGTAATAGGCAACTGTATGATTTATTTACTTGATCTGGACCAGTGTGAGAAACAAAGGTTCCATGGAACTCAGAAAATCTGATGTGCACATGCTTAAGTTAGCACCTTTGTATATAAGTCATATTCTTCCCCCTTCTTCGTCTCTGGTAAAAACTTCACTCAGAATACTCCCAAGACTAATAATTTTTAATTTGGGGTATTCATTAAAATCACCTGGGGAACTTATAAAAATAAGCATTTGAAAATCTCCCAAGTAATTCCAATATGCAGCCAAGTTGAGCTCCATTGCCCTAGACCTTCTATCAAGTTTGAGCTAACAAGGCCAAGAGTAACCATGCCTCTAATTATCATCTAATTATTAATTTGCATTTTCCTCATGTAATGTCATTATGATTGAGTGGGGATAATCAGGAGTGGAACATGTACAGCTGAGTTTAAAACTTTTGCCTCTACTTGATAAAATATCTTTCTGTGTTCTTGGCTGCTGTCACTCTTGAGGTTAAAAGAATGCAAACCACTCCACACTTCTTTCAGTCTGCTCTTCTTGTTTTGTTCTTCTTTCTCCATCAGGTCTGGCTTTCTGGAAATTCTGGCAGATCTATAAAATTTCCCCAGAATTTACGGCTTAATGCTTTGATGACTTTCCTGCCTCTTAACCACTTAACTTCCTTCTCTGATCAATATTTGCCTCTCAATTGTAGATAACATTTTGTAAAACAGAGTCTGCTGAGGAATGAGAGTAAAAGAGACTTTGGCTGATGAAAGGGTTGGAAATTTGAAAAATGCCTGTGCTTTGGTCAGTGAGGGAGGTTGTTACCACCAGGATAGTGAGGGTTGAGGGTAGCTTGGGCTGACCGCTCAGGACTGCAGAGATTGCCCTCTGGCCTGAAAGTTCTCCTCAAATTTGTATCAGTGCCCAACCAGGACCTTGACCAGAATCTGCCTCAGAACCCACAGACCAGGCCGCCATCCATGAGAATTAGTCTGCTTTGACCTTGGCGAGTTCAAATTAGGTCAAATATTGCTGGTTTCACAAGGCCTCCAATTATATCTGGAACCTCTTCTTGTATTCATCCTGAAGAAATTTACACCACAATTCCCTTTGAAACATCAAAAGTAGCTCATCCCATGACCAGACATACTCATTTCTGTGGTTATCTCCTGCCTGGCGTCATGATATGTGCTTCTTATTATGAAAGGGACCCACACTCCACTGCTTACCCTATTCAAAGTTCATTCCATCATAAGCCAGCTCTCCTAGATCCTCACTTTCTTTATAGAATGCTCTTGCTACTTCTTTCCCAGAACTAAAACATGGCTTTTCTGTTAGTTTATCATTTCTACCGTGTCCTTTCCAATGCAGAGAACCACAGAACTGCAGGATGTTGTCAGCTTTCTGCCTTCTCTAAAAAATGGCATCTATAATTCCATGCTTTTCTCTTTTACCTTCATGAAAAAACATCCTGCTACTCTGAGGATTCTGCCACCTGGAATGACATCCTCTGGCCCTCTTTATCCCCATCTTCTGCTTTCCTATTGGTTAGTCCCTCACATTAATTAAAAATGCACACAACTATTTTGCCATCATCCTCTTCAACTCAAATCCTACCTTTACCCTGGCTGTATTTCTAAGGACATTTTCCTTGTAAGCACAGAAAAATTAAAGCTGAGATACTATAGATAACATGAAAATATTAGAATGTGTTTTTATTTTTTATAAGTGATCTCATTTTGCACTCTAATTTTTATTGCCTTCATAGAGGGAAAAATAAAATCAGAAAAAAATGCCATCAAAACCTTAAGTTTATCCTTTTTAAGTATGGAGTCTTTTAAAACTTTTGAAAGTAATTTGTGTTTTTTGTGTTGTTTCAGAGTCATTTAGATAACTGATCATTCAAGTCAAAGTTACAGTTCTTACCAGGGCAATTTCTCCCCCCCCCCTTTTTTTTTCCTAAAGTTTTTTTATTTACTTAGAGAGAGAGAGGGAGAGAGTAAGTGAGAACATGAGCAGGGGAGGGGCAGAGAGAGAGGGAGAGAGAGAGAATCCCAAGCAGGCTCCATGCTGTCTGCACAGAGACCAACGTGGGGCTCAAACTCATGAACCTTGAGATCATGACCTGAGCTGAAATCAAGAGTTGGACACTTAACCGACTGAGCCACCCAGGCACTCCAATTCGTTTCCTTTCTTAAGAGCAGTTCTCTTCTTTCCTCTTAAGAAAAGCACAGAAAAGTCTGTTAGTACAGACTCTCTGGCATGGAGTTAGGGGCTCCTGGTCTGAGCTTTCCCAGGCCCATTTCTAGTTTTAAATACAGTGTGCCTAAGTTGATCTTACCCCCGGGCATTGGTGTTGGCTGGGGTGCTGCTGACTGCATCTGGTTCTTGCGGAAGGTATCCTGACGTTCATGGAAATCACTGGTGCCCACCACATATTCCATTTGCGTGGATCTTACATTCTGTTGCTTTCTCATCCTTACCCCAGGCCCTCTTGTGGTTCACTGGCTCTGTCAGCGGCACCTCTTTGTATCCTTTGGGGGGAAATTAGGGAGGCCTCAGATGCTTCCTCTGTGCCACGCTAGAAGGTGTGCTGCTGAACTTCCTCCACCTTCCTTTGCCCTTTCTCATCACTTGTCACAAGGTCTCCATAAGACTTCCAGCCAGGTAAAACACAAGCCTCGCTCTGCTTTTAACTTCCTCTCAAAGCTCTGATTTCTGTGGGGATTTCTGCCTTCTGTATCTTCCTTTCTTCTCATCTATACTTCTCAAGAGAGTGGCTTCTGCTTCCACCCTGTTACTGAGACTACTTTCATAAGGTCATGAGAAACCTAATTGCCCAAATTTTTTTAGTATTTTCAGTATTTTCTCACTGGACCTTTCTGTTTTGTTTAACACCCTGATCCCTTTATTTTCCAAACTCCGTGCTTTGCTGATTCCACTCAGAACTTTTTGCCTGTTTCCTATTTTGTTTTCCCTTTCACTGCTGGTGTTAATGAGAATTTTGTCCTTGAATTGTTTCACCTCTTATTATGGCTAAGTCCAGGGAAAGGGGACGTTCTCCCTGGGTGATTGCTTTTATTTTTTATTCCCACGTTAAACTACATTCTTTATATTGCTGCTAAAAAAAAAAAAAAAAAAAAAAAAGTACTGAACCAAAAGAGTAGTTCTTCAGTTTAGAACATTCCTCTAAACTTTAGACTCATATATTTAACTACCTCCTGGATATTTTCAGGCCTTTCAAACTGAACTTGTACAAACTGAACTCATTATCCTTCCCAGCTTCTCAGGATGTATTTTTCAGTCTTGACTGACACCCCTTTCTCCTTAGCTGCTGGAGTTAGAGTACTTGGGAGTCATTTTTGGCTCTTTTAATTCTTATATCTCCTATATTCTCACAAGGAATCACTGAAGCCTGCCAACTTTCTTCCTGTTTTATACTCATTTGTCAATGATCTCTCAGTCATCACCTGTGTATCTATGTCTGTGTATCTATGTATCATCATATATTGATCACCTTCTGTTACTTGTGTTTGATGAAAAATTTCCTCTCAAAGTTTACATATTATTAAATGGTTAAATGTAAATACAAATAAAAATTTAGGAATAGGGGCACCTGGGTGGCTCAGTCGGTTAAGCATCCAATTTCAGCTCATATCATGATCTCAGGGTTCAAGGGTTAGAGCCCCGCTTCAGGCTCTGTGCTGACAGCTCAGAGCCTGGAGCCTGCTTCTGATTCTGTCTCCCTCCATCTCTGCCCCTCCCCTGCTCACGTTCTGTCTCTCTTTCAAAAATAAATAAATGTTAACAAAAATTTAGAAGGGGAAAAAGAAATAACTACGTAGCTTATAAAGACCCACATTGTAATTATTATTGCTATAAGCCCAGAAGTCAGTGCCAAACTTTTGGGTAACCAAAGCGAAAATGAGATTAGGTCAGGGGCTCCTGGGTGGCTTAGTCGGTTAAGCGTCCGACTTTCGCTTAGGTCATGATCTCGTGGTTCGTGGGTTCGAGCCCCGCATCGGGCTCTGTGCTGACTGCCAGCTCAGAGCCTGGAGCCTGTTTCAGTCTGTGACTCCCTCTCTCTCTGACCCTCCCTGCTCACACTGTCTCTCTCTCTCTCTCTCTCTCTCTCTCTCCTAGAAATAAATAAAAAAAAAAAAAAGAAAATGAGATTAGGTCAGTTACTTAATTCTTTTTATTAGAGAAAACAAAGGAATTTTCACAAGTGGTAAGCTCTGATTAGCTGAAGCTTTGTGTTGATAAAGCTTTGTTTATCTTTCCCTTTAACTTATATAAACTGTCCTTGTAACCAACTCTTCTTCCAGAGCAAATCTCCTGTGAGTACTTAATGCTGCTTGAGCATCTGAGGACCACTCCTCAAAAACAGAGATCCTTTTCCGTTTTCCTCAGTCCCTACCAAGCTTAGGGACTGCGTTCTTTGTCTATGGGAGCCCCCAATCCTCCTCTTTGTCCTACAGCTATTTTTATTGACCTTGTCTTTCTTTCTTAAAAGATCAAGTCTGTCTGCAACTCAGCATTTTAAAACTGTCAAACTCGATTTCAAGCAGATTTCTACATTTAGAGATTTTAGTTGGGGTCTAGCTTGTATTCTCTTTGGGATTCAGGCATGCCTAGACAAGTTTGTGGGTCCACTGGGGCTGACTCTCTGGTGCTTTGTTCCATAAAATGATGGGGAAGGCTTTGATGAAGAACTGTGCTTGCTTTAATGCCAGTGGTAGGGTGTGAAAGTGCCGTTTACAGTTATTATTTGTGAATGAGGTAAATCTAGCAGCCTTTATGGCAGATGCCTGTTAGCCTACATTGAGGCCTGGAGAACAGTAATGTCTCCTGTCTTACAGCAAGGAGGTCATGCGTACAGTGTCAGGAGCAACCGCGCCAACCTCTCCACCAGGAACAGAGCTGGCTCTGGTATGCCTTTGCAGAAGTTTCCCGGTATGGTGCGGTGCTGGAGAGCCCAGGCTGGGGTGCCAGACACATGTGGACTGGAGTCCTGGCCCTGCTCCTTCCTTCTATGTAGCCTTGGGCAACTTCCTTTATGTCTCTGACTCTGTTGTAGTAAGGATTAAATATAAGTCACATGGGGCACTCAACATCATATTTGGCATATAGGTAAAGCCTCAATAAATGGGAGTTATTATTACTATCATCATCATTATCAGACATCATTGTAAGAATGAGGAGCAAGGGAGGTGGAAAATGATGAGCTGCATGGGAGATGAAAGGTTGGCTTTGGGGGCTCAGATGAGGGACATGGAGAGGTTTTGTAAACTAACTGAGGAAAGGAGGTTGAGGAGGGTTAGGATTCTTGGAATATATGATATAAGAGAGCTGAAGAGACTTATGTGATTTTATTTCCTATCTGTAGAAATTGAATTGTGATCAGACTTAGGGGTGTGGTAGTTTCTTTTTAAATGTTAGGATGAAAAAGATATCCCATGGGCTATCTTATATTCTGGAGAGCTTATTTGTTTTGTATTGCTGTTTGTTTGTTTAGGTTTGGAACTGTTTCTGAAGTTGGCCTTTATCCAATGAATACTGTCTAACCTATAAATACTACACAATAATACTTGACTTTTCTGTAAGATTTTATAGAGTTGACCACTCCCTCTTTCTTGAAATTGTCTCCTTTCTGGAGACTTCTACAAAACCAGTTTCTCCTGGTCTTCTTCCTACCATTCAGATCCTTCTTTCTGGAAGCTAAATTTTTTTCCCTTAAGGTTTCCCCTCTTTGAAACTCTTAATTATCCATATTTCCCAGGACTATGTTAACTCTTTGGTCTTCTTACCTTTTAAAGATCTGTTGTACACCCCAAACCCATGGCTTAAAGCACCATTTATAGGCATATGACTTGCAAATCTATTTCTATTCTAGAGCCTGACCCTTCTCCTGAGCTATTTAGCCTATATACCCAATTATGGCAGATTCGGCAAGAAAGGGTTTGAACAGAATTGGTGGAACTAAACTATAGCTATTGAAACAAACAGAGGGTTTTCCATTTATACAAGGGTCCCTCTGGCCTCTGAAATGTTTCAGCCCCAGGTTTAGGTGAAGGCATCTTGGTGGAAGTGTACAGACATTGGTCCTGATAGCTATGTAAAATGATTTCTACCACTTGGCAGTTGCATAACCTTGGGAAAATTTCTTAACCCCAGAAAGCTTTCAAGAGGGGGAAAATGTATATACACTTTTAACTTCTTGCCTTTTAGCCCAATAGATGCTTCCAGGATCTACATATGTTCCTTTGTTGTTAGATAAGTTTTCTTCTTACAGTATTTTACTTTAAAGGAGGAAGGGTCCTATATACAATTATGACCATGTTGAGGAATATCTTTCATTGGCACTATTTTTTTGAAATTAATTCTTCCTATTGGTTTAATCTAGCTGTCTAGAGGGTGTAATGTGCTGTTTCCTTGGAAACCCAGCCTTTACACTATTGGTTAGAATGTCCCAAGGTTGTGCGTTATATTCCATCACCTACTTACCCTCAAGAAAGCAAGTATCCAACATATTAGAATTAGCCTATAACCTCTAGCAATCTGTTACCTATGTTAAAAAATCTGCTGTGGTTTTTCATTTCTAAATTGTATTTTAGACTTTTCCTTCTTCGTTGGCATGGAAGCAGAATTTTTCCCCCACAATTTTGCTCAGAATGCTAGTCTTTATGGTCTCTAGTGTTTATGACCAAGAAGTGTATTTTCTGTTGATAAAAGAAATAATCCAAAGATGTTCCCTTCTTTTAAGCACGCTTGCTTCAGCAATTCAAAGTAGATAGGGAGACGTTCCCTCTGGAGTTGCTAGTATGCTCAAACAATGAAATAGGTTGAAAAGAAAATTTTTACCTGCTATCTTCAATTTATATAAGCCTTTTCCTTTCCTTACCACCCTGCTTCTTAGGGAGTCTGGATTCCTTTCCCTCAGTAAAAAGATGGTGATAGCCTTTCAAACCCTCTATATTACTCTTCTTCTTTTTTTTAATTTTAAAAAATATTTATTTATTTATTTACTTGTTTACTTATTTTTTTAATAGTTTTATTGTCAAGTTGGTTTGATATAACACCCAGTGCTCATCTCCACAAGTGCCTTCCTCCATGCCCATCATCCCCCTTCCCCTCCCTCCCACCCCCATCAGTCCTCAATTTGTTCTCAGCATTCAAGAGTCTCTCATGGTTTGCCTCCCTCCCTCTCCCCCACTATTTCCCCCCCCCCCCTTTTTCTCCCCCACGGTCCTCCGTTAAGTTCCTCCTAATCCTCCTATACGTGCAAACGTATGGTATCTGTCCTTCTCTGCCTGACTTATTTCACTCAGCATAACACCCTCTATATTACTCTTCTTAATGTTTATTCATTGTTAAATCTGTTTGTTTCCTCTGGCTCTACAAGTATATGGTATACATGATGTGTACCTCATTGCCCTTGAGAAAATCACTTTCTGCACTCTCAGTTATTGGTACA